TTCCCCTCCACATGCTTTGGACATGGGCACTGAGGTCTGTCTGTCCACAGACCCAGCCCATGGTCAGCACTGAGCCATGTCCTTTGTGTGTGTGTGGAAACGATTCAATCCATTCTAGCTGGGCATGGGCGTCTGTCCAGGTGTGAGTGTGAGACTCTCCTTTGGTGTGGGCCCTGCTGGGCACATCACTGTCAGATGCCAACTTAGAGAAAGAGGATGCCACAGGGCAGGGCAGATACCACTTCCCACCTCTTTGCAACCTGAACATCAGGACAGGCCTGGGAGGGACTCTCTGTGGAGAAGCAGGTGTGTGGGAGGGGACCGTCCAACAGGAATGGACAGGAAAGGGAAATCCCAGGGGGTAAGAGGAGGCAAGGTTTTGCCTTTCATGATCCTACCCCTTTCTCTCCACCCCATCTCTGCCTGCCTGTCCTTCCTTCCCCTCCCCTGCAGGATGGGGGCACCATGGCTGTGCCGGCCCAGCTCTCCCTGACACAGTCATCAAGTGAGACCCCTTCATGTGGAAAATGCTACAGAAAGGGCAGTGCGGCCCATCCTTGAGGGTACTGGCTGCTGCTGGTGCTGCTTTCCTCAATATATCACACTCCCAGATCTGACACTGGGAAAGGTTTTGGATTTCGCTGACCCAGAAGGCAAAGTTGTCTTGAGCAAATGGGAATTGTTCATTGTTGTGTGTCTTGTGCATGTACCCAGAATGCATTGCAGCGGTCTCCGATGAACTTGAACCAGGCTGTTCCTCCACCCAGATTTCACCACACCCATAGTGCCTTGCTGCACAGTGGGACCGCTGTAACAGGTCCCGTGGGCTGTAAAATCTGAAGACAAGGCTAGACATCGTACCATTTTTGATAGTTTTGAGCCCCGTATGTGGATTTCTGTCTGTGATAAAAGGGAAACCAGCATCGCTCAACTTGAAGCTGCCTGTGGCTGCCTGTGGAAGCGTTTGGGAGCTGAGTGCTGTTGGCCCTGGTGCGAGCTCATGGAGATGAGTCTGCAGGTGCCGTGTGCTTGGTAAAGGGCACATTGGAGCAAGCACCTGTGCCCATGTCCTGGCCTCCAGCCTTGTGCCACCTGCAAAGAGGAAAATGTGGGTTGGATCCCCTGCAGGAAAAGGGGAAAAGGATGGCATCTTCCTGGAAACTGATGAGGACACGGAGGAGTTTGTGTCTGGATTGGAAGTTTGTGAGGTCTTCCTGGAGACAGGGTTAGCTTCTACCTGACTAGCCTACCTTTGGGTGCTATGTGACCCTGTGGGAACCTCTCAAAGGACATGTTTGCCTTGGCCTTTCACCCAGTCAATCAGAATTTAATAAAGGGCATTGATCCTTTTCTCAGTTTTTCTCCTGAGATGCTTCCACCAGCAGACAGGGCATGTTTACCAAAGAGCATCATAGATCCAGTCCTGCTACAGATTTCTCTGCTATTAAGGAGCTAGATGGTCTTAACAATGACACCGCTGACCTAGAGAGGGAAATGAATAATGTGCAATGGGACCTTAAGGAGAAAGAAGGTACTCTATTTTTTTTCAAATTCTTACACATGGACATGCTTAGAGAGAAGGAGGGCGAGAGTGAGACAGAGAAACATGGATGTGAAAGAGATGCATTGATCAGTTGCCTTCTTCATATACCCTGACCAGGGATTGAACCCACAACCCAGTT